CTGTTGACTGTACGTGCTCCCAATGAATAAAATGTGATGAAGGAGAGCAGAATTATTTACGAGCGCGGTCAGCAAAAAATACATGCAGTTCCGATTAATGACTGCCGTCCCAACAAGGAACAACTGAGCGGCTCTCCGTCAGAGGGCAGCTAGCTAGTGAGGCGGTCCAACTGAGCAGGCGTTAGAACTAGAACTTTGAGCGGTTCTAGCTCGCTCCTCGCTCGCTGAGGAGTCGCGAGAGTGAGATAGTATCTAGCTTGGGGGCTGAACTACCTGCCCAAGGAAGACGACCATGTACTACTTGAGCGCGGGGGCTGTCTTTGAGCCTCGGTTTAGAGAGGACACAGAGGCGCTAAAGAGAACACTCCCATCCTCGTTAGTGCCGTTCTCGATTCGTGCTTTCGTACTATTTTCGCTATGAGCCAGAGAAATATTATGGTAATTGATTTAGTTTTTCGATTTCAGATTGAGAACTTTTCAAAATGCCTATGGATCCGATTGATGCTATGTGGTGAGTATTTTACGTTATGGGGTTGTGAATGTGAGATGGATGGGTAAAGGTCTATTAAACAGCGTGTGAGCACAGTTAGGCAACGGGGCCGTTTTGCACTTTCGCTGCTTTACTAGTTTCAAATTTACAAGCTCACTCTGGTGGAACTTGTGAACTCTAGTGAAGCGGGGCAGTCTCCACTCGACGGCTTTTACAAGTGCAAAATGTCCCCCCTCGCATTGATGAATTGCACCGAGCGTGTGCGTAGTTGTGCTGTTTTTGGGTGTTCTGGTTTTTGGTAGAGTTCAAATGACCAATGATAAGTAAAGCTATCGCCACGAATGTTGGACGTGGAGATGAATTAATTCCCAATAGAAGAAAAACGTCTGGTTCAAAGGCACACTGTTAAAGATACGGTAGTTTTTTGCTGCGACAGAGTGTACCCCATGACAAATAATGAAGGTCTTTGCGTGCATTTCCATACACATAACTGCTCTTGGCCTGATGAGTATCTCACGTGGTGCCTCAGACTCAGAGAACGACCACTTCTTGCATCACTCAGGGTCCGCCCCATGGGATAGCATTATAAACCACGTCGTTCCTCTGCTGATAACTCTTTCTCTCATAAGATTTCACAGAAATATTCTCGCATCTACTGCTATGATGACCTCTCCAGTTCCACCAGTATGGTCAGTTTTTATTGATTTCTACCCACCCAGCGTAGCGTAGCGTAGTGAGGATTTTTTAACCATTTTTTGCAACGATTAGTTTGTTGAGGCGGAGTGTGGGCCAATGTTCCTAGTACGGCATCTACTCGAAAGAGTTTTGTATCTTTGTAAAAATAGTGGCATTCATCGCAGGGCACGTCGTGCTTTCGGGAACCCCTGCGAGGGGGGGGGGAGCGTATTTGATCAGAGGGGGAGGAAGGAGAGGGACGCAACTGCGTTTGAGGAAAGCTTTTTCTGTGACTTTCCTTGGGTTTTTCTCTTTCAGGGGCACTGTACCCGCTTCCTTGACCACCTGCCGTTCGATGATAGTCTCTTGGAGGGGAAAGTGGAGGAGTGAATAAGTCCAATAAGAGGAAAAATGACGGGAATTTTGAAAAAGTGGGTAAAATGGTAGGCAAGATGGGGAAGGGAAGTCGTTTCAGAGGAGAAATTCAGTGGGGAGAGGGAAAGGGGGGTCGTATTTGCAGTTTTTTCCTCATCGTCAAAATGTACCCTGATTCTTTGATGTCCTCTATTCATGCTTTTCAGAGAACAATGAACAGGGAAGGGAAACCCACGTGGCTGCGCTTATTGGATATATAGTGAATCAGTAACTAGAGTGTGTTCCGTCAAACAAAAGGGCTTTATAAAAATATTAATCGTTTTTACGTTGGTGAAATAGAAATGTCGAAAATCATCATATAAGAAAAAAAAGCAGATGCCGGGTTCATAGGACCTTCATAGTTCATGGTCATGATGTACCCCCGGAATGTTGGATGGAGGGATCATCAATCAACTCGATTTTTAGGGCACATTCGGTGTAGAAAGTGAAACTAGATTCTCACATGTTAGATATTTGATATCTTTAAGAGTGCAGCAATGTGGCCTTCTAGGTTGAATATATTAAAACCGGTTGTTTCGAGGGCAAAGTCCACAAAGTAGTGAGTCATGTCAGTGGAATCTAGGTTCCATAGCCTTTGACACTTACATTCTAACAGGCTTTGTCATTAGAGAGTAACCTTACAATAAGAATTACTTCTTCGATTTGTTCCCAGGTGAACGTTTGAGGGGGTGTGGCTTCTCGATTCCTTTAGTTTCTGGGACAAGATTATATGAAGAAAACGTGTTCTGTACTGGTGAGCATTTTAATTGATGAGCTTGGAGCGCGAACTACGCTTCTGCTCGGCTTTCGCCCAAGGCCACGTGCGAACCAGGAACTGAACTAGCTGTTGTTTTCAAGCCCATTCAATATTTCTGGATTGTTCGAATACTCAACTTAGTCGATGATTTGGTGCTAATACCCTTAGAGGGGGGGGGAGGGGAGAAGGGAGGCTTTTCCAATA